TGTATGATCATTTACTGAATAAACTATTTTTATTTATTTTTTATAGTGGTCGGAAGCGCGACTACTGATAATGCAGTTCCGGGACCCTAAATTCGAAATTCAAATTCAAAATCAGTTATTAAGTTTTTCTGTCAAAAAATTCGCAGCGGCAGCCTGGAGTTAGGAAATTTTATTTTTCAGCAATGTTAAAATTATTGTATTACGTTAATAATATAATTTTGGTTTGTTATATAGATTTATCGAAAGGAATCTTAAAGATTTTTATCGCAAATATGTTTTTGTTAATGGCTAAAAAAGTGACACTTACAGAACACTCTCAGCACAGATTAAAAATGTACTAACGTTACGGCAATTTCACTTTTCATTGTGGTAATAAACTTAAAATATATATATATTAATATTAGTAATGTGCTCAAACTCGAATCACGCTTGACCGCTTTTTTTATTGCTTCAATCAATTATTTTATCACGCAGGTGGAGCTCTTTTATGTAAATTTTGTAAATTTCTACGAATTGTTTTTTTTTTATTATTTAAACGTTTTCCAATAGCAGCTAACATGTCAAACTACTTTATTATTAAAAATAAGTAATGAAATTTTATAATATTTCGCAATAATGAGCAACAAAAAATGACGCAATATTACATGGAAATAAAATGTTTTTTTTTTTTATAGAGTAAGCATGATAAACGAACATACAGTCCACCTGATGGTAAGTGGATGCTGTGGACCATACACATCTACATTTATTCTCGACTAGCTATTCCCCGCGACTTGGCCCGCGTGTTATTTAGGGTTTTAATTTTTTTGCCCGGAACCCTAATTCTTTTTCTAAAATAAAAGGAGCCTAAGTAGTAACTTAGGAGTACCTTATAACATCAGCTATCTGCCAGTGAAAATCCCGTCAAAATCGCTCCAGCCGTTTCGAAGATTAGCCGGAACAAACAGACAGACAATTTTTTTTAAATTGTAGGTTTTTTTATAAGTTCTGTATATACTTTCATATGCATTATTTTATATTTTATTAGCAAAAAGATGTAATTTTGACTTTACAAACAGACACTTCAATTTTATTTATTTGTATATATTAAAAAAATCAGATGCGTTGTCACCTCCGAGGAATAAGATGGCATGCCCCGTTTCCAGTAAATGTGGGGCTCCGTTTCGCTACATTCACCTATTTTACGCTGGTATTCTGTGAGAGCGGTAGTCCTGCCCCGGTAGAGCCGACCCATTCATGCTACAATCATAATATAGCTGCAGCATGACTCTACCACGTATGAAAGGTTTAATTTTTTTATGGTAACACTTAAGCACAAAGCAAGTACGTATGTTAATAAATAGATCTTATTTCTTAGAAGGCTGTATGAAAAATGAGCACTTTCGCTTTTTGAACATAAGCATATAATACGAGTATTATGATATTAGTTTTAATATTATAATATTATTTCCTTGCAAATGAAATTAGCGTTGTGTCGTACTGACCACTTTGATCTCCTCTTTGGTTAAGATTTCCAAATTCAAATTTATAAATTCATTTAGCTGATACATTTGAGTCGAAAACAGTCATTCATTTGTTTTTTCCTCATTATTTTTTTATTTGGCGTCGCTTATTACCGCACAATGGAAAACATGGAATATCGGTATATTTACGAGTACGAGTTCTACCGTGGCACCAGTGCTGCAGAAACAGCTCAAAGGATTAATGATGTGTACGGGGCTGGTGTCGCAAAAGAAAGCACGGTACGTTTTTGGTTTCAACGTTTTCGTTCTGGAAATTTCGACCTTCAGAACCAACCCCATGGACGGCCGGAGACCAAAGTGGAAAATGAAGAATTAAAGGTTATTGTGGAAGCGGATCCATCACAAAGCACTTCAGAGATAGCTGCAGGCTTCGGGGTGATAAAATTGTATTAATCCACTTGAAGCAAATCGGTCGGTAAAAAAATTTGAACAATGGGTACCTCATGAATTGAGCGGATCGAAATTGCAAACACGCGTCGACTGCTGTGTTACTTTGCTCAACCGACACAATAACGAAGGGATTTTAAATCGAATCATTACTTGTGATAAAAAGTGGATACTGTACAATAATCGGAAGCGCTCGTCGCAATGGCTGAACCCTGGAGACCCAGCCAAATCCTGCCCTAAACGAAAATTGACTCAGAAACAGTTACTTGTAAGTGTTTGCTGGACTAGCGCCGGTGTCGTTCACTACAGCTTTCTAAAATCTGGCCAAACGATTACGGCAGATATCTATTGTCAGCAACTGCAAACCATCAAGGAAGAACTAGCTGCTAAAAAAGCGAGATTGTTCAATCGCTCTAGGCTACTGCTGCTTCACGACAATGCAAGACCATACACTGTACAACAAACAACCACTAAGTTAGATGAGCTACAATTGAAATGTCTGCGACATTCACCGTACTCCCCGGATCTTGCTCCAACAGATTACCATTTTTTCCGGAATTTGGACAACTTCTTACAAGGAAAAAAATTCAACTCCGATGCGGCAGTCCAAACCGCCTTCAAAGAGTTTATCGATTCTCGTCCCCATGGTTTTTTTAGTAAAGGAATCAATGAACTACCTATGAGATGGCAAAAGTGCATAGATTACAACGGTGCATACTTTGATTAATTAAATATATTTTACAAAAAAAAATTGACTTTATATTCCTCCCGTACAAAACGACAATTTCATATGTAAGGACCTAATATTATGACATTAGTCATAATATTATATAGGGGGGTAGAAGTAGAGCAATATATTAATATATAAAACCTAAAGGAACCTATGAATCACTTTCAGGAAGCCAGGTTTTCAAAAGATCAAACATCAATGTAGTCTGAAATTTGTCTATACCATCGTAGGTTTTATATGATGCAACTAAAAATCTGGAATTTCGTGAATGTGCGCACCTGAATTTGTCAAATGTCGGCCAATGTACTTACGTTGTTCTGTCTGACCAATTTAGGAATTAATGGGTCTTTAATATTAATAATTTTTCACATATTGAATGTGTTTTGCAGTACTGGCTATTTCAAATCAAAATAACTTTTATTTGGCTAAGAATTCTAATTTCAAATTAATGTTATTTTAAAAATATGTACCTAAAGCTTTTATCAAAATTAGTCATTTGTTTATTGATTAGTGTTATGTTTTTATCGTCGAATAATTATGGAATATTTTTTTATAGGATAAGGGTGACAAACGAGCACACAGTCCACCTGATGGTAAGTGGTTGCTGTGGTCCATAGACATCTACATCTGTCCTTGACTACGAATCAAAATGCACATGTGTTGTCACCCGTGAGGACTAAGATGGAATGCCTCTTTTCCAGTAAAAAGGGTATCCGGTTATCTACACTCACCATACGAAACACAGCACTGTTAAGCTGCTATTTTATGCTGGTATTCTGTGAAAGCGTGGTCTATCCCCGGTCGAGCCGACCCGTTCGTGCTACAACTATACTAGGAGAAGGTGGGGGGACACCGGATAGTTAAGATAAAGACCCAATAAATAAATCACTATATTATTTATTGAGATAATCAATATCACAAAGGTTAAAGTATATCTTAGGCAAAAATTTGGTAAAAAATATTTGAGATCAAATGTCACATGACGATCATTTAATATAATAGTTCGCACAGCTGCGATGTTTTCAGGCGTGACAGCTGTTCTTGGTCGACCTGCAGAAGAAACAGCGCTGAGCGACACACGATCGCGTCGGAAGTGCTTCAACCGGGACATTTATCTTGAGATAAGCCGCGACGAAAATTGTGATAAATTATGACACGGAAATATTCACGCGTGAGCTCCATTTCTGTTAACGACATGTCAACTTTAAACCAACATAGTTTTTGTTTTTAAACATTTTTTTTAATTGTTTGAATGTTATTAAGATTCTAAAAGTCCAGTATTCAAATTCTAAAAAAGGTTTTATTGTAACTCAATCCGAAATATTCTATTCCCGATCATTTCAGTGTGCCTCTCGTAGTAACTATCTGGTTTCACCCTCTATCCGGTTTCCCCCCTCCTTGCCCTGCTAATAGCTGCAGCATGGCTCTACCACGTAAAAAAAGTGACAAACTAACTTACACCCACCTGGTGGCAGGTAAGGAGGCTAGTACCTACTTACCCAGACTGACACCTAGGCAGAAACGAGTCCTGCCATTTAGCAAACTTTATTATAAAACTAAAAAAAATAAAAACATTTTGACAAAAGAGTTTTATTTAATTTCTCTAAAATGTTGTCACTTCCGCGACATTATAAGTATTTTAATTGAAACAAACATCATTAAAATGTAATCATACAAAATTATATAAAGACCATTAATTGCCATAAAAAGAACATCCGCATTTTTCATATCCATTAACAAGATGCACTGTTATTAAAGTTACAAACATACTGTGGCATGACTAAAAAATTCCATGCCCTTTCAAAACCTTAAAACGCCGAAATCCTATTCTATGTGTTAGTACTGAATTACGGTTTTATTTCCTTTGTTTATTCCATTTTACATTATAATAGTAAATATTTATTATCATTTTCAAAAACATAAAAACAAAACTAACTGTGTTAGGCATACGTTTGACAACCTTTATTTATATACGTTACAACTTGCAATGCTTTTTTGTCTGAAACATTCGCAGCCACAATTTAACAAAGTTTCTTCGTAATATATAATAATTTCGTAAATATGTATTTAGGAAATTAGAAATCTACATCCTCATTTAAAAATCAACATCAGATGCGTCATCATCCTTGAGGACTATGATAGAATGCCTCGTTTCCAGTAAAAAGGGTCTCCTGCTCTCTACACTTACCATACGAAACACAGCAGCGTAAAACCGCTATTTTACGCTAGTATTCTGTGAGAGCGTGCTCCATCCCCGGGCGCATTCGTGCTACAGCCATAACATAGATGTAACGTGGCTCTACCGTGTATACATCCAAAAAATAATGCTAGTATACTCCAATATGGTTCCAGGTAGAAGCATGGGAAACAGCCAATCAATACGAGAAACCCATTTCCAACGAGCGGACACTGCAGATTTGCCGACGGAGGAAGTCGAGCCCAATGAGCAGTATATCAGTATCTCGAACAAAATGGTGATTGTTTTTTTTTTTACTTTATTTGGATCTCCAACAAGATAATACACAATATTGACAAAAATATAACTCAACACTGCGACTACATGCTACGTGTTCATCTTCTTACAGGTAACCACAACTTACATAAATTACAAAGTGATTTTTTTAAAGAAAAAAGAAACAGTTAATAATTCGAGTATGCTAATAAACTGAATTGGGTTTAATTGTTAAATTTAATTGTTATATATATATATATATATATATATATATATATATATATATATATATATATATAATATTTTAACAAAATTTCAAATGAAATTTGCAATTTTAATACTAGGTCGAAAGGCTGGTCGAAGATGCGACATTAGCAAGCAAAGCAGCGGCGTCAGAAAGTACTATTCCTCGTGACGACTACAAAGAGAAGATCTTCATGGAAAAGCTATTGTATTTGGACGAAAACCACTCTCAGAGATGCAGGCACGTTAATTCTACAATTTTTTTTCATATGATAAAGGTGACAAACGAGCACACACTTACCTGATGGTAAGTGGTTGCTGTGACCCATAGACGTCTACATCTATCTTCGATTACGAATCAAAATGCAGATGCGTTGTCACTACTGAAGACTAAGGAATGCCTCGTTTCCAGTAAAAGGGTCTTCAGTTCTCCACACTCACCATACGAAACACAGGAGCATTAAGTTGCTATTTTTGACGGCCCCGTGGCGCAGAGACTTAGCAACGAGTTGCTGCGCTGGGGGCTGTAGGTTCGAATCCCGCACTGAACAAGTATATTATGTATGACCTACAAATAATTGATCCGGGTCTGGATGTTTGTCCTTGTGCAATTTGTGTTTGTAAACTGCCTCTGCGATACAGGAGAAAATCCTCCTAGTGAGGGGGTAACGTAAAAAAAAATATAACTATACTAATATATAATATAGCTGCAGCATGGCTCTACAACGTATAAAATTATATTTTTCGTTAGCGACCTGCCGGCTTCGTCTGGGCGTGAAGAGTGGCGTTATTTATATTTAATATAATGAGCAAAGACTAAAAATCTGCAAGTTTTTCGGACAAAACATAGCTTAGATCACTTCTGCCATTGATCTCCATATGTTCGTAAAGTTTTATTACAATCGGTGCAGCCATTCCCAAGATTAGCCCGGACAGACAGACGGAAAGAAAAATAAGACAGATAGACAAACATTTTAACAGTATTTATGATGTCTTAGTGGCATACAAATACAATACAATAAAAGGCAGTTATTTCGATATTACAGACGGACACTTCAATAACTTATTTTTGAAGGTAAATATTTCGCAATAATAAAAGCCGATAAAAGCACCGATTATTTAAATGTATGTGCTTAGTACATTTTGTACTATTTTTATATCTTCTTCTCTCCAACGAGTTCATTTAAATCAAATTCAAAAATCTTACATTCATTCTTGCCTGGAAGGTATCGCTGAGTAGTCATAAGGTAACCAATATGTACCCACTTCTAATAAACTTATCAAGGTATTGTTATTTTAAAGTGTACAGTAAAGAGAACAAAGAAATAAAATAAATTAGAGGACATAACAGGTTATTTATTTATTTATTTATTCTTTATTGCACCAAATATTTGTACAAAAGGCGAGCTTAATGCTATATGGCATTCTCTACCAGCTAACCTTGGGTAGAACAGAGAGTGGGTTTGGGCAGTTAAGTTGTCATGATACTCGTATAATACAGTTCAAATATATACATGCAACACATACATAAAATGTACACATATATAAAAATACATAATTCATATACATACGAGTATATAAATAAATACATGCATTAATACATATAAATATAAATGTATATATAAATAACTATAAACATATAAAATAAATTGACTCAACTTTGTAGGCCACGGATATGCTCATATAGTTTTCTTTTAAAAATATTTGTGGCAGGTGTTGTTCGCAGGTCAACAGGCAATTTGTTCCAGAGGGTAATAAAAATTAGGTAGGGTAGTAAAACTGTGAAAAAATTTGACATAGACCCAGAATGCTAGAGAGGAGCGGACAGGAATAAACTTTGTGAAGAACGGAGATTGAGAGAATGAGAGTCACTAAGGAATTGAAATCTTTCTTTTAGATAAAGGGGTGAGGAAGGATCATTAAGAACTGAAAACAAAGTGGACAGGATTCGGAAATATCTGCGCTAGCGTGTAGTAAACCACTTTAACTGAGAGCGAAATTCTGAAACGTGATCATATTTGCGCAGGCCAAAGATGAATCGGATACAGTTGTTAAGTAACTTGTCCAACCTGTTTAACAGCTCCTGAGAAATATTAGTTAGACAAACATCGGCATAGTCAAATAATGAAAGAATTAGAGATTGGACGAGAAGACGTTTAGTTGAAGAAGGCAGAAAGAACTTAAGGCGATAGAAGGAACGAAGTATGCCTGTGACTTTACAACTAACCTCGGACACCTGTGATATCCAACTAAGAGACGGGTCGATAATTAAACCTAGATCCTTGACACTGTTTCTGAAGGGTGTATCGCAGTTTTCACAGTAAATGGATGGTAGTTCAGATATGTTAAGTAGTGACACCAATCGACGACTACCAATGACGATAGCCTGGCGTTTATTGGGATTTACCGTTATACCGAAGCGCTGTGACATGTGTGATATACGTTGTAAGTCACGATTAATAGCTGCGATAGCAGAATCATTTTCAGCCAAGGACTCTTGCGAGTATAACTGGAGATCGTCAGCATAGAGGTGGTAAGAACATTGAAGGTGGGTAGTTAGAAAATTGATAAACACTAAAAACAAGAGAGGAGAAAGAATGCCGCCTTGCGGTACACCTCGAGAGAGGTCGCACCAGTCGGAAAAATCCTGACCAGATCGAACAGACTGCTGGCGACTGCGAAGATAAGAGGAAAACCAGTTCAGTGCTGACGAGGCGAAATTTAGTCGTGAAAGTAATTCAAGGAGTAAGTCGTGATCGACACAATTGAATGCGTTTGAAAAGTCAATAAGGACAAGAACAGTCAAAGATCACCTCTCCATGCCATCTCTAAAGTCTTCTGTAACTTGAAGTAATGCTATGGTTGTACTGTGTCCCGGGCGGAAACCAGATTGACATGTACTAAGGAAATTTCATTTTGAAATGAAAGAGGTGACTTGTTTTAGTACCAGTGATTCAAGTGTTTTGGAAAGAAACGGCAGTATAGAAATAGGTCTAAAATGGGAAGGAAGCGATGGATTTGGTACTTTACTTTAGGTTATCCTCGAAGTAGGCTTACAGGTATACTCCTAATGCTTTCTACACCACCAGTCACCAGGTACCAGTTCGTGACCTAGGCACAAATTTTTGACACCAAACGTTTTCGTATCGTCATCGACTAAAACCAAAATATAACGAAATATGAACAGCGCCCCTGGCGGACGTAAATTGAACTCTGTTTTGCTATAGAAAGTAATTCGATTTTGCTTTTCGTTGCGATACAAATTCGATACGATAGAAAACTCATGTTCAAGGGGTGCGAGGGCTTTGCTCCTGATCTACCGCGACAAGAAAAAAATAATACGACCACAGGGTCCATAAAAATGCGACATAAGTATGCATTACATTTATAGGAATATCTAGATGGTCACAGTAACTTTTTTTTTGCTATTAAGTACTTAAATACTGATAAGGACATAATACCTAATAAGTGGCATAAGCTTTTTTTTTTAATATTCCTTAGTGAAGTATTGTATTATAATGAAATAGTTATAATGAACTCTGCCGCATGCTCGTTAGCACCCTCATCTTTATAAATATACTATTTTGTATTGTAGTTTCCAAGAATTTTAAAAATTTTGCTAATTAAAAGTAATAAAAAACTATTTGAATTGTATTGTTATTTTAACCTTGGCATATAAACCTGTTTTAAGTGTTATTAATTATAATACGTAGTAAAATATTAAAAATCATGCGTCATTTATGCAAAAGGATAAAAAGTTTTATTAAATATTTGATAGTAAATTCAATAAAGAAAACATTAGCCACATACTTGGTCACGCAAAATAAATCACGTCTATTCTAAATGTCTTATTGAGGTATTGATGTTTTTGTACGCGGTAGAGTCATCCTGCAGCTATATTAGTAGTATAGTTGTAGCACGAATGGTTCGGCTCGACCGGGGAAGGACCACGCTCTCACAGAATACCAGCGATAAATGGCAGCTTGACACTGCTGCGTTTCGGATGGTGAGTATAAAGAACCGGAGACCCTTTTTACTGGAAAAGAGGCATTCCATCTTAGTCCTCACGGGTGACGACGCATCGGCATTTTGATTCTTTATTGAGGATAAATGTAGATGTTTATGGGTCACAGTAACCACTTACCATCTGTGGACTGTGTGCCCGTTTGTCACCCCATCCTATAAAAAAACCTAAGTAATTTAATATGAAAATTCTATGTAGATCTTAACTCGGTCATTTACCCAATCTTCTGACCCGCCAACAGACCTTTACCTCTTGCAATCGATTATTCACAAAAAGGTAACCTTAATATCATAATGGCACAGTCTGCTTGTGTAAAATTTATTAAGGTATTTTTAATAAATTCCTCCTGTAAGGTTAATAAATTTACATTTTCACATTTTTTACATAAATTACACATGGGCAAACAACCAAGACCGAAACGACCTTGTATCCTCGTCAGCAAGTACAAAAAGTTGTTTAATCTCTCGCTTTGTTGTAATCTCGCGCGAAACGTTAGTAATGGATATTAAATGATAGTAAGTAAAAAGATACCTACCCAGTAGGGTCACTTATATGATTACGAGTATCCCAGGTAGAAGTGGCCCTACCTATGTATGGACATCAAAAACACTACATCCCAAACCTGTAGGCCAATTTAACATTTATGGACTCACGGAAGTACTAAATACAGTATAAATTAAAATATACATGTATAGTACAAAATAAAATTAAACGTAATAAAATTCGTAAATTATCTCGCGGATATCGTTGTTGGTCTGCTTTTCGGAAGTTTAAATTTTATTTTTCAACAAATTCTACGTTTTGTGAGAGTTCGATTTGAAATTTTTTTAGGGATATAAGTCGTACCTTTATTTTTTTTTTTATAGGACAAGGGTTACAAACGAGCACACAGTCCACCTGATGGTAAGTGGTTTATGCGGCCCATAGACATCTACATCTATCCTCTATTACAAATCAAAATGCAGATGCGTTGTCACCCGTGAGGACTAAGATGGAATGCCTCATTTCCAGTAAAAAGGGCCTCCGGCCACCTGCACTTACCATGCGAAACGCAGAGGTAAGCCTCTACTTCACGCTGGTATTCTGTGAGGTCGTGGTAACACCCCGGTTCGAGCCGACCCATTCGTGTTACAACTATAATATAGCTGTAGCAAGGCTCAACCACGTGTAAGTGGGAAGTTGAAAGTAAGGACAGACAAAACAGCACCCGTTAGATGTTTTAACAGGTACACTTTCTAAAACAGGCTAACTGTAGAAGATTTGAACGAAACGGCAGCTAGAATAGAACTACGCACAGCAAACATGGTAGGCGTGGAGCCAGTCTGTGCGGAGTGCAAGCAGAGAGTCATCGACTGCTACGACAGTGGATCCCATACTGAGTCGCTTGTGTGCTGGGACGCTGTTGGTGAGTACGGACAAGTAACAAACATATTTATAATAAATTCTAAAATATGCAATGATGCTTATATCTTATAATCTATCCCTTCAATCATTAGTTTATTTGTTAGTAATTATATTTAAGATTTTTTTGTAACTACCAGGACGGCATAATCGCATCAGCGACAAAGCCCTTTATATATGAATAAAAAAAAATGCTTATATCTTCCTGTTTACGGCATTTTCAGTTTTACTTGATATTACTAGCTGCGCAATTTCACATGAATAGAACCAAGATTCAGAATCATTATTTGCAGGCCATACAATGCTCACGGAGCTGTTTGCTCGTAGCGTTATATGGCCAATAATCTTGATGACCGTAATTGTGGTGTCATTATTTCATGAAAATCTAGGAATGGAAAACATTTGATATTTTTCCGGTCAAAAAACTGATCGAAAGATAGACTACCTACTACTAATTTTAATGATATTTTTTTTTAAATAAAGGTGAGTTCACAAAGTGCGTGCAAACGGCTGCGGCAAATCGAATACGCGCACGGACTCAGCGCGACGCACGCGAGCACGCGCGCCGTGAACGTCACGTCGCACACGCTCGCGAACATGCACTAAAAGATCTCACACCGCCCCAGGAAACTACTGCCTAACTTGAACGCATTTGTTAATTATATATGACAATAAACCTAATAAACAAATTAAATAAACTTTATTAAAGAAAAAAATATCATATTCTTTCCACTACATAGGTACTACTTTGAACATTTATTACTTATTATAATATACTTGTTTACCAAATAAAAATATTAATAAAAATTAAAAAAAAATATTTCTTATGAAGTAAATACATCATAAAAACATTTATGATAAAAAATCGTATCATTTCATTGTTTGATTTGGTAAAGCTTTTACACGCCCGGTAGACGATCGTTAAAAAAACTTGGTATTATACTTATATGTCGGAGATTTCAACAGAGGATCCCGATTTTGATCTCGGAAATACATCGGGATAGCGTTAACTGTTATAAATAATAAAAGTGTGAGAGCGGATGTTCAACTTGCTCTCTTACTTACACAATTAAACATTATCAGTAATAAGACAACGTAACGCACTATACATTTAGTATAGAGCAATTACAGTTCGACCATACCGTAACACGTCTCCGCCACAATCACACATCAGTGTAACGTGAGGTCCGTAATTATATGATAACACCAAAATATGTAAACCAACAGCAACACTACTTATCTCAGTATAACACAGGGCAGCCTCTCAGAAACACCAATCCTCCTTGACTGCACTTGAAGAATTACAACAACGAAGAGAACCATGACACTATCTTAACACTAGTAGAATGACCACACTCGTAGAATGACTTAAGCGGAATCTCTCGCGCACGGCGCCTACAGTGAACTTTATACTGCACAAACAAGTGGCGTTTTCTCGACATACCCTCAATTCCACCTCGATCCAAACGGGTATTTTATAGACGCCCCGACACGGCCATCCTGACGTACAACCGTGCTCAAGCGTGTATTTTCATGCATTCCTGTAACAAACACTATTAGTCCACCAGTTCGTCCGCTCGTCCGTCCTGACATGAGCAGGTACACATTATTAGTTCGCAAAACTAATTGTTAGATGGCGCTGCTCGTTGCACTATGGTGCCACCAATCTACACGGACATCCCTGACCAGCACCTGTCCTCGGTTACAGTGCCTGTGGACAAAAATATGATCAGAGTAATTTAGCTCGGCTATCCTGTCAATAGAAACAAAGTCGATTACAAATGGTACTTTACTTCTCCTAAGTGCAATAGTCAACTGTCATAATTGACAATCCCCTGTTATTAAGGTTTCTTACACAGTGCTTCCCGCATGATTTATTGTGAAAGGTCCGATCAACAAGTTACAACACAGTTATTCCTACAATCTTGCCACTCTTTACCATAATTCATAAGCAATGCATTTTCAACTCGTGAAACTTTCATTGAAATATGTGCACCAACACAGGCCAGAATCGCACCAACGATTCTTTACATATCCGCCGTCACATATGCCAGAATCGCACCAACGATTCTCCACATATCTGCCGCCAAATATGCTACAACACGTGAAGCGCTCTGTGCACCAACAAAGACAGAAATCGCACCAACGGTTCACTACAAACCCATCGCCACATGTTACTCATGAGGTGCGGTCTAAGGTTTCGAGTATGACATTTATGAGTATACAAGCCATTCTTAATCAGATTTGGTCTCACCACCGCCGGCATCAAACATGACATCTAATTCGCGAGGAGCTTGGTGATCGGAGATCTTCCTCACATGATCATAGGGGTATTTGTGGGGTACTTTGCGCACTAACATGACCGATTCTGGTTAAATATACTGGTCTTTGATTTGAGAGCATTCGGCACCAGAATCATAATAAAATGGGTACGACTCACCAGTATTTCATCAGCACACCGCTGGGTGCTTACACAACAATTGCCAACACGTCGCTCACTGCTCGCCTCTGCAGCATGCTTAAGGAAAGCGCATGTGGCTATTAAAACAAACCAGCACACGCCATAGTTAGTCAAAACAGCGGCACAGGCCGTGCCGCACTCGCACAGCGAGGCGTCGCGCCGCACCAGCGTCAGCGAAACGCTGCGCTGCATCACGCACTTGAAGCGTCAACGGGAGCAGCAGGAGCACCTGAGAGTTCACAGGCATCGTCGGTGTTGCCGTCATCGTGATCTGCGTGAAAAACAAGTTGTTAATTATGAAGACAACATACACCGTTGCCTATCCTCTCATCCGTCACGCATACGAGGCCCTCAAACAGAAATACGCTCTCATACAGAATATAATAAAGCACTTCGCTTTCACAAGTATGCATACATCTCCATACAAAGTATCTCACACACTCGTACTTGAACGACGTGAACCAGGACAGCGCCTGCCAGGACAGAGCCTGATCCATGTTCAGAGAACACAACTTCCGCGCATACAGAATATAACACTTACGCGCACACATAGTGTAAGACTTCGGCACACACATTGTGGACTTCCGAGGCACCCTCATGTATAGCATACGCGCGCTCCGGAACAGCACCAACCACGCGTGCAGCATATGAGTCTGCCGAAACTAGGCCATGCTACAGCTGGACCCGGCAGTCCGTTCGGACCAGCAAGGCACACACTCGCCTCACACCCGCACACATGTAATCATATCACACGTGCTATTGTAAGACATATAAGGAAACATATTAAAAAGATTCAGTAGAAACTTTTTTTTTAAATGCAGGACTACGCTCGGGACACCATTCGCCTTTCCAGGGCACCATGGAACGGTTCCAAGGTACGGTCCGATCCTCCTGTAAACTTAAATTTATACTTTGGTTTTCCGGCATTTTTCGCAACCAATTAAAAAGATTAACACTTATTCTTACAAAATATTTTTAAAAAGATTTTTGAAAAAACTATTCTTCATCAAATGTTAAATTTCTTTAATATAAATAATTTACTTCATAAAAATCAATTTGGTTTCACAAGGAGTCGCTCGACAACTGATGCCGGTGTTGAGCTGATTAAATATATCTTTAATGCATGGGAGAATTCACAGGATGCTTTGGGTATATTTTGTGACCTATCCAAGGCTTTCGATTGAAAGCCTTGGATAGGTCACAAATGAAACATTAATCAGGAAACTTCAACACTACGGTGTAAGAAGTGATGCTCTTAAATTAATTATTTCATATTGAAGTAAGAGAACGCAAAAAGTTGTCATTAACAATATGAGCTCCTCTGGGTCGATGGTACAAATGGGCGTCCCTCGAGGCTCAATTCTCGGCCCCTTTCTGTTTCTTGTATACATTAATGACTTACCTTACATAGTAGGGGATAACCATGATATAGTATTATTTGCAGATGACACTTCTTTAACTTTCAAATTAAGTCGACAATTATTAAAATATGACGAAGTAAATAATGCTACGAGTATATCTAAATTAGTAAATTGGTTCAATGTTAATAATTTGCATTTAAATGGCACTAAAACGAAATGTATGAAATTCATAATTCCAAATGTCAAACAATTAAATACTAGTGTAATTTTAAACGGGGAGAAACTGAGTCTTGTAGATACCACCATTTTTCTTGGAATCACACTAGGAGCGAAGCTTCAATGGAGCCCCCATATATCAAAACTAGCTAGCAGACTTAGTTCTGCAGCATATGCTGTAAAAAAGATTAGAAGTCTAACCAGTGTTGAAACAGCTAGACTAATTTACTTTAGCTATTTCCGTAGCATAGTGTCGTATGGTATTTTGCTATGGGGACACGCAGCTGACACTGAAATTATATTTGTTTTACAGAAGAGGGCCATAAGAGCAATTTATGATTTAAAGCCTAAAGAGTCGCTGCGACAAAAATTTAAGGAAATTAACATATTAACTTTGGCCTCTCAATACATTTATGAAAATATAATGTACGTACACAGGAATAAAAGTAGTTTTACAAAAGTAAGTGATATTCATTCTGTAAATACTAGGAACAGACACAAGCTAGTAGTACCAGTTACTCGACTCCATCGAGTCAGTAATTCATTCTTGGGGCGATGTATACGCTTTTACAACAAAATTCCAGAAAATATACAAAATTGGACCGGCTCAAAGTTCAAAAACTTTATTAAACTAAGTTTGTATAAAAAGGAATGAAGTAGTTTGGTCGTGGATGCTCAGCGAGGGATTCTCCAGGGGTGCTGGTACCCTCCTGGGGTAGTCTTTTATTCAATTCCACTACCATGTTGATGGGGAGGGGGGGGGGGGGGATTGGGCCTCCGGCCACCTGCACTCACCAAGCGCAACGCAGAGGTAAACCTCTACTTCACGCTGGTATTCTGTGAGGTCGTGGTACCACCCCGGCTCGAGCTGGCCCATCCGTGCGACAGCAAAAGCTACCGCTTAGCTCTCTCCACTGTTAAACTCTAGATACGCTTTACACCGACATTGTGACAGCCCTTCGTGACGCAGCGGTGGCAAGTCGTAGAAGCAGGAGAGGAGGGGGTGAGAGTGGCTCGACTACAGGCCTATCTCCCTTGTCACTGTCATAGCAAAGGTTTTCGACGGTTTGCTTAATGCAGTTAAACAAACACGTAAAGCTGAATGATAACCAGTTCGGTTTTCGACCGCAGCTGTCGACAGAAAGTGCAATATTGTGTTTTAAACATACCGTTAAATACTATACAAACCGCAAGATGCCCGTATACGCCTGTTTTCTGGACTTGTCTAGGGCTTTTGAGTTAGTTAAATACGACCGTTTATGGGATAAACTGAAAAGTATCAACTTACCCGAGGAACTCATCAGCATGTTCCAGTACTGGTATTCACACCAGTCTAACATCGTGCGTTGGGCGGGTGCAGTGTCGGATCCGTATCAGCTCAAATGTGGAGTCAGGGAAGGCGGACTAACATCTCAGACACTTTTCAATTTATATATGAACGATTTGATCGACGCTCTCAGCTGCCAGCGCGTCGGCTGCTATATTGACTTCGTCTGTGTTAACAATCTGAGTTACACTGACGACATGGTTTTGCTGAGTGCGTCGATCTGTGGCCTAAGGAAACTGCTACGAATTTGTGAGGAGTATGCGAGTGAACACGGTC